AATGGAATGGTTGGCTCATATGACATCACAAGCAGAATTCTAAGACTCCCAGTGACCTCATCCTTGCTTAATTTCCTCCCCTTTCAGTGTCAGTGGGACCTGTGAATATGATGAGCTATTGCCTCCATGATTATGTTCTCTTACATGGCAAAGGGAGGCCATCCAGGTGGGTCTAATCTAATCATGTGAACCTTTCAAAAAGTTTTAGACAAAAAAGAAAATCAGAGAGATGTAAGCACAGGGGAGATTCAACGCGTCCTCATTGACTTGAAGGCAGAGGAATGTGGACAGCCTCAGGGAGCCGAGAGAAGCTGCCAGCTGACATCCAGCAGAGAAGTGGGGACCCCTGTCCTGCAGCCACAAGGAACTGCACTGTGCCAACACCTCTCTGAGCCTGCGAGTAGAGTTCATCCTAGAGCCTCCAGAAGAGGACCCATTCTGGCTAACATCTGACTTCAGTCTTGTGATACCACGACCAGACAATTCAGTCATACGGTCCCAGACTTCTGATCTTTACAACTAATGAGCTAATAAGAAATGTAGTTTTAAGGTCCTATATTTGTGGTTTTGTTGCAGCAATAAAAAGCTAGCACATACAGTATGTCATGCTTAACTTCTTAAGAAACTGCTAAATTGATTCCCGAAGTACCTACATCATTTTATGCACCCACCAGCAACATCTGAGAGCTCCAGTGGCCCCACATTCTTGACAATACTTAATATTGTCAGTCTTTCAGCTATTCTTGTGTAGTGCTATTTCATTGTGGTATTTCAAAATTTGCACTTCCCTGAAGACTAATGATGTTCACATCTTTTCATGTTCTTACTTGTTATCTATCTATCTTTTACAGTGGGATGTCTGTCTAAATTTTTTCCTCATTTTAAAAAACTGAAAAAAATTTGTCTTACTCTTTCAAAGTACTATAGGACTGGTGGTAAAGGGAAGGGAAGAGAAGGCAGAACTACGAAAAAGCTTGATCGTCACGAGGAAAGTGCAGGGAAAGCAGGCCTTCACTGAGAGAAGGAAAGGGGGTGTCTGCCAACCTCAGAGTCGCAGTTTGAATGACCGCATCCAGGAGGTAGGAGATAAAAAGCATTGGGCTTAAGCAGGGTGGGAGGCCAGAATTCCTGAAAGATAACCCAGTGGTAATACAACTTATCTGCTTAAGGAGATGTTACCTACGTCAGCCTTGGCACTGGAAGAAAACTCTGCCCAAAGTACTTCTAATCTTAGGCTTCTACTCAAAAGTGTTTGAGCCTGAAATTTACATCTCCTACATGGACTTGAAAACTTTAAACAGAAGATTTATTTTGAAGTTGTCCCAAGCTGAAAGTCAGAGAAGGCACTGGCACACCACTCCAGTACTCTTGCCTGGAAAATCCCATGGACGGAGGAGCCTGGTGGGCTGCAGTCCATGGGGGTGCTGGGAGTCGAACACGGCTGAGCGACTTCACTTTCACTTTTCACTTTCATGCACCGGAGAAGGAAATGGCAGCCCACCCCAGTGTTCTTGCCTGGAGAATCCCAGGGCCGGGGGAGCCTGGTGGGCTGCTGTCTATGGGGTCGCACAGAGTCGGGCACGACTGAAGTGACTTAGCAGCAGCAGCAGCAAGTTGAAAGTGCTCCTACCTCCCCAGCCCACCTACCTCCCGTCCACCCAGCCCACCTAACACAGGACTCAAAGGGCCCCCACTGATAAAGTTCCAAGGTATATGAATTCACAATAAATAAAAATCACTAATAAATAAGGCGATAAGAGTCATAAGAGATAAACTGCTGTGTCAAACCTATAAAGACTAGCGATTCTGGATGACTGGACATAGACTATTAAATAAGTCGGGTTAATATTTTAAAATATTAGATAAGATAAAGAAATAAAAGCATAACAAAGAATGAAACATTCCAAATTGACAGATAACCTATTAATAGAAAAAAGTGAACATTACGTGACTGCTAATTCCTCAATAGCAACAGTGAAGCCAGGAGACAGTAGAATATCTTCAAAGTGCTGATTGAAAATAGCCATAAACCTAAAATTATATGTCAAATGAAACCATATTTCAAGGACAAAATCAAAAGAAAGACATTATCAAGCCAACCTGGGAGATTTCCGCAACAAAACCCGTCACTATGAATGTTCTTAGGGATGTACTTTAAGAGAAAGAAGAATGATCCCAGAAGGGAGTTCTGAGAGGCAAAAAGGAATGATGAGACTATAGGTAAAGACTATGGGAAAATATGGGGCTTCCCTGATAACTCAGCTGGTAAAGACTCTGCCTGCAATGCAGGAGACCCCAGTTCGATTCCTGGGTTGGGAAGATCCCTTGACAAAGGGAAAGACGACCCACTCCAGTATTCTGGCCTGGAGAATTCCATGGACTGTATCCCATGGGGTCACAAAGAGTCGGACATGACTGAGCAAATTTCACTTTTCATGGACAAATATACAAACAATATTGCACATATAAAATAACAATGTCTAATTGAAGTGTCAAAAATATACAATGTAGAATTAAAATCATGGGGAAAAAATAACCTAAAAATTGGGATTCATGAATTTGCTGTAATGGACATACTCGTCTACATGCCAGGCCCTGTGCTATGTATTCCTTAAGTCTTACATCACTTAATCCTCCCAACCACCTTACAAGGAAGGTGGTGTTATTAGCCTGTTGAGAAAACACACATAGCCAGGAAGTATCAGCTGGGACTTAAGCCAAGTCTATTTGATTCTGAGCCTCTTCTCTCAAGCAGTCTACCACACTGCTTTCACTGGTAGTATTTGTTGTGAAAAATATAGGCAAGTGTAAAGAAAATACAGACATGTGATGTAGGCAAGTGTAAAGCCAAGAACTCCCCTGCATCATCACTGTCATATGTATAAATACACACATGCATAACTTTGAAAAAATTGGGATAACTACTCTTTTGCATTACAGTTAATATCACTAAGTAATATAATATTTTAAATATAATCATCTTGCTCTTTATTTTTGGAGCAAATTTTTTAATGGTTCATTGTATAGTGTTTTTTTAACCTCTTTATTGTTCAGTTGCTTATTTGTGTCTGACTCTTTAAGACCCCATGGACTGCAGTATGCCAGGCTTCCCTGTCCTTCACCATCTCCCAGAGTTTGTTCAGACTCATGTCCATTGATTCGATGATGCCACCAACTATCTCATCCTTTGTCACCTGCTTCTCTTCCTGCCCTCAATCTTGCCCAGTATCAGGGTTTTTTCCAATGAGTCAGCTCTTCACATCAGGTGGAGCTTCAGCTTCAGAATCAGGCCTTCCAATGAATATTCAGGGTTGATTTCCTTTAGGATTGACTGGTTTGATTTCCTTTCAGTCTAAGGGACTCTCAAGAGTCGTCTGCAGCGCCACAATTTGAAGACATCAATTTTCTGGAGTTCAGCTTTCTTTATGGTTCAACTCTCACATCCAAACATGACTACTGGAAAAACCATAGCTTTGACTAGACGGACCTATGTCAGCAAAGTGATGTCTATGCTTCTTAATATACTTTCTAGGTTTGTCATAGCTTTTCTTCCAAGGAGCAAGCATCTTTTAATTCCACGGCTGCAGTCACCATCTGCAGTGATTTTGGAGCCCAAGAAAATAAAGTCTGTCACTGTTTCCATTTTTTCCTCATTTTTGCCATGAAGTGATGGTACCAGATGCCATGATCTTAGCTTTTTGAATGTTAAGTGTTACTTTTCACTCTCCTTCTTCACCCTCATCCAGAGGCTCCTTAGTCCCTCTTCACTTTCTGCCATTAGAGTGGTATCAGGTGAATATCTGAGGTTGTTGCTATTTCTCCTGGAAATCTTGGTTACAGTTTGTGATTTATCCAGCCTGGCATTTCACATGACATACTCTACATAAAAGTTAAATAAGCAGGGTGACAATATACTGACTTGACATACTCCTTTTTAACATCTTTATCCCTATACTTCTGTATTCTACAGTATTCACTGTTAATTTTTGTTAGATGTGAAGATAATCTGCTTGATACCTTTATTTTCTCAAACTTGAAATGTAGTAAGAGAAGTGGATATCTATTCTATTGCTGACTATACATTTTTTGTTCTAGAGATCTTTTGCAAATAAACGTTGCAATCACATGATTCCAAAATTATGTGCTTCAAAGCAGATTTGGGATACAAAATGTGGATTTTCAAAACATGTAAATTAAATAGTTATTCTTGATGAAAGTCTTTGCTTTATGACAAAAATGACTTGTATGTTTTCTTTCACATAAACTGTTTTCTTAGAATATAGAAATATCACTTCCTTTATGAAAATTAGACTCATGTGGAACTTTTAATAGAAACGCATTTATGACTTTTAAAGAGATGTGTTTGTGTGTACACACACGTCTGCATACAAATATATATTTCAGTCTCAACCCAGAGATTGATTAATATCATATTATTACAATGTATGTAGTAAAATCTCATCAATTCAAATATACCATTGATTTAAAACTTCGATTTGAAAAATACAAGTTAGAGGAAGAAGAAACCAATATGGGGTATGTATGTTTGCTTCTGCAATCTCGTAATGCCTTGCACAAACCACATCAACTTGTTTCACTTTACTTTTGAATACTTACTTATGGTTTGACGAGTATAAAATGCCCATACACGAAAGTAACAAGACGGAGTACTAACACTGAACGAACCTTTGAACAAATATGGATAGTCTCGTCCACACTTCTCCTTTTCACCACCCAAACCATCACCTGAAATAGTTAATTTTGTAACCATGTGTTTATAGTAACCTACTAGTCACAGAGACCATCTGCGGTCAATTATTATTCCCAAGAGGTCTCCTCTTGGCGTCACTCATCTTTGTGGGCCTGTCCGCCCTTTTACCCGGAGCTGGTTAGTGCTCGGTCTGTGCAAAATAACTTTATAGTATCTTAAGCAAAATAAAGAATAGTAATCATGCTGCAGAGAACGATAGACCTGCTTCTAAAACCAAGTATGAACTCACCTAGTGGGGTGCATGGGGGAGCTACGCGGAGCGCGGAGGCTGCGTTGTCCATTAACGCCACCCCCACGCAGGCTCCCGCGGCTCCGCCTCCATTCCCAAACGTCGCGCACTGCCCTCCTGCTTCTGCCCTCCCGCCTTAGAGAATCTCTTTGAACCTTTGATTTAAAGCAGGCGTCCACTGCCACCCTCGGACCGCCTCCTGCTAGGTCGCAGTTGTCCCGGTAACAGCGTGTCAGAAGGGAGAACCGGCTCTCCGGAGTTTCCACGGAAACCACTCCGGGCAGAAGCAGGTGCGGCGGGCGCAGCCGGGCGGCGCTGGAAGGCGCCCTCGGGGCGGGACCCGGAGCACCGCCCCTGCGCCTGGTATGGGTTACATATGCACCGCATATGCACTACCTTCGATGGGCTATTTCACTCGCAGAACAGAACCACTAATTCCTTCCGTATCTCTATGCAAACCCAGTCGCTCTCGAGGCACTGTCCGCGCTTTAGGGACGGTCCAAATAGAGGAGGATCTGCAAAGGAGCCCTCCCCGCCCCTCCCCAAACAGTAAGGTTCTGCTGGCCAGGGTCCTCTCGACAGGCTGGAGCGCTCGTGAGCGCGACAGAACGTGCGGGAAACCCAGGTTGATGAGCTTCCTGCCCTTTGCATATTCTACCCGTGCCCAGAAAATCAAGTATTAATAGGTTTGAGGTTTGCCGTGTTCCTCTAAGTAAGTCCCCTTTACATTTGTGACGCAGGTTAGGTTAATTGGAAAGGCAATCGCCTCTTGCTTTGTCTGACAAGTATCGTTGGGAAGAGAGAATCGGATCTCTGCTGAGAGCGATTAGGAGAGAACTGAGGTGTCTGGACAGTTCCTAGGTCAGGCTGGCGTGAGACCGTTCCGGTCCGTGTCCGCGCGGTCCTGCCGGCGGCGGCGGCGGCGCCGGAGACGAGGAGGGGTGGAAGCCGCGGCCCAACGCGCGCTTCTCGGCCCCCAGCCCGTCATCTTTGTGTCTCTCGGGGCGGGGAGGGGCTGTCTGACACGTTATTAAACCTGGCAGCTGCGTTGGCGGCGCCGAGGCGCATTTAGAGTGAGCTTGCAGAAGATGAGGGGCTTTCAGCCGGGCGCCAGCTTGTCACTTCTCGCTGCCTGAAAGGCGGGTTTCAGAGCGCTCTCTCTGGCTTCCGTTATCAGTGGCCACTGACAGCGCGCTCACTTCGCGGAAACAGTGGGAAACGTGAGTATCTGTGGCTCCACGCCGCGGGTCGGCGGCTCGGCTCCCAGATCTTCCAGCCGGGTGGCGGGGACGCAGAGGCAGCGGAGGCGAGGCCGGCGCGCGGGGCACCGGGCTGTGGGAGGGCCGCGCGCCGCCGCGCCCGGTCTGTAGGTGGTGCGCGCCGGCGCGACGGCGAGGCGAGAGCCCGGGCGGCTGCGGGAGGAGGCTGGGGCGCCCGGTGTCTTGCGCACGCCTTGGGATCTGGGCCTGTAGTTTGGAGCCAGATGCACAAAGACGTCGGGCCTAGGCAGCCGGTGTAGACAGTCCTGTGCTGCCCCAGTACCTCCGGTCCTTTTTGAGAGAGAGGAGACGCTGCATTTTACGTTTGGCTCGAAAAAAAAACGAGATTAGGCCAGTGTTTCCCCGCCCCGGAGGACGTTTGCGCGCTGGCGGTGAGCATCTCGGCCAGTCCCATGGGGACGGTGTGGCAGCTTCGCGCGCCTCCAGAGGTCGGTGCGCCCGGATCCCCTGGGGACTTCAGAGCCTCCTGGGCTCAGGCCCCCATCCCTGAGCTCCCTCCCTCTACACTGTGTTCTAACAGGGCTGACCTTTAACGAAGACCCTAGTAAGGCGAGGAGACCTTAATTCCCTCTTTTCTTCCCGAAGTTATGAGTGTGAAGAGGTGTGGTGTTTTTCCTTATTATTGATTGCTAGAGGGAATCTTGAAGTTCAACATCGGATTTATATATATATATATGTGTGTGTGTGTGTGTGTGTGTATATATTTCTGGACAAGATTTCCCGTATTACAGAACTGACATCATACCAGGATCTCTGGGTGATCTGTGTATTTCTTTAAAAACCTTGGCTTTCCCCTAGGGGTTCCCAGGAGTGTCTAACAGCGTCAGTTGACACCAGAATATCATGTTTCCTATTTCGTGTGCGTTTCCATGCCGACCTGGTTCAGGCCGGAATGTGGGATACTGAGAGGTAGTATCTCAAGCCTCATTCTTGCTGCCTCTGTGGCTGGACTTCTAGCTGTGTTGTCTGGCCATCAGTGTCAGCAGCTTATGGCCATGGAAGGGGTCACCTTTCCCAGGGGCTGGCCAGAGCCAGGACTCCTTGAAGGTTAGTTGTGTGGGCAGTCAGCTGTGGGCAAACTGCTAAGTTTCCAGGCCTCAGTTTCCTAATCTATAAAGTGGGCATGACAAAGTAACACAGAGATGCACTAAGTTTGTGCTGGTCTCTCACCCCACTAAACAGTTTTTCTGTTATAACTTGATAGTTGAGATTATCTTAATGAGCACAAAAAGAAAAGAAAGGAAAAGCCTACAAAATGGAAAAACTTGTAAACAGCCCTAAGAAAAGCAGTTATCAAGTTCGCTTAGAAATTTCCTAAAAACAGACAAGACTGTTGGTTGTAAATTACTTGATTTACAAGTAAAGAAGTAAAACTGTCATAGACACACATATGAGCCCTTTATTTTTAGAATTTCTTTTTGGCTAAACAGTGGGGCTTGAAGGACCTCAGTCTGCCAACCAGGACTGATCCTGGGCCATAGCAGTGAAAGCCCAAAGTCCGAACCACAAGGCCACCAGGGATCTCCACATATGCCTTCTTTAATTTTACATGATCAGGTTATGACCCTGAAGAAAGTTTGACATCTAACAAGGAAATAAGGCTTGCTTTTCTTTGCCCCCAGATGGACTGCCTCCATCCTGCAGTGTGGTTTCTCAGGCTTCTGCAAATGAGTTTCTTGTTAACAAAAACCAGATGATAATTAAGCTTTTTTTTTTTAAGAAATTAATGGGATTCTGAGATGTTAAGTATAATACGATAGAACTGGAAATACTGCTACTGAATTCTTCTTTAGTAAAATAATGTTTTAGGTGTTGTTTCTAATTTTGTCTATTGTACTTTAAAAAGAATGTGGAGAAACGAGTTCAGAATGGAGCAACCAAAATAACTTAATGAAGCAGAAAAAGGAGAAGCTTAAAAAAAAATTTTTTTTTTAAAAATCCTGAGGCTGGGTAAGGTTCTGAAAAGAATGGAGTAAGAGAAAGCCAGGTTTTGATAGAACAGAATGCACTTCTCAGATGGTGAAAGATTAAAATGAGGAACTTCACAAAGAGAATAATTTCCCATCTGCCCTTCATGGTCTAGCCCCAGCACTCCCTAAACCTGGCTGCCTATTTGAATCAGGTGGGAACTTTAAAATCCTTCTAAGGCCCGGGTCCCTCCCCAGGCTGAGACTCTGACTTAACTGGTCTGAACGTGAGTGTGGATAGTCAGAGTTCCTGAGGTGAAGCATTAGGTAGGAGAACCTTGGCCATGCCTAAGAGGGCGGCTGCAGGAGCAGCCGGGAGCTGACGGGGCCACAGGAGAGAAGACAGCTGTGGTCCACACGGGCTGTCCACTGGCTTCGCCAGATCCTGTTTCATCAAGGATTTCTGGAAACCCAGTTATTTACTGATAAATATGGAATCTTCAAATCTTTAAGGGTTGCAACTAATTAAGAGTAAAACATTTAAAAGTGTATTGTGCTTGCCAAACAAAACACATCTGCTGAAACTGGTCCCCAGGCCAGATTAGGCAACCTCAGCCGCAGACATCTGCCTTCTCTTCAGGGAGGAGCCGGTCTGGACTAGGGGCTGTTCCCGGGCCTCTTCTAGTTTGAGTTCTGTTGTTTTGCTTTGTTTTGTTACTGTAGTAAATTTATTTATTCTTGTAAAATTATTTTTAATTGAAATACAATTTTGTTACAGTGTTGTGTTGGTTTCAAGTGTATAGCAAAATAATTCAGTTTTGTGTCTGTGCACGTGTGTGTGTCTGTTTCAGATTCTTTTCCCTAAGAGATTATTACAAGATATTGAGTATAGTTCCCTGTGGTATACAATAGGGCCTTGCTGGTTATCCGACTCTTTGCGTCCCCATGGACTATACAGTCCATGGAATTCTCCAGGCCAGAATACTATAGTGGGTAGACTTCCCCTTCTCCAGAGGATCTTCCCAACCTAGATATCAAACCCAGGTCTTCCTAATTGCGAGCAGATTCTTTACCAGCTGAGCCACAAGAGAAGCCCAAGAATACTGGAGTGGGTAGTCTATCCCTTTTTCAGTGGATCTCCCCAACCCAGGAGTCGAACTGGGATCTCCTGCATTAAGGGTGGATTCTTCACCAACTGAGCTATGAGGGAAATCCCATTTTATATATAGTAGTATATGCTAATCCCAAACTCCTAATTTATCCCTCCTCCCCTTTCTTCTTGGTAGCCCTAAGTTTGTTTTCTATGTCTGTGGGTATATTTCTGTTTTGTATATAAGTTCATTTGTATCATTTTTTTAGATTCCACATCTAAATGATATCACATGATATTTATCTTTGTCTGACTTATTTCTGTAGTATGATAATCTTTAGGTCCATCCATGTTTCTACAAATGGTATTAATTCATTCTTTTCTATGGCTGAGTGATATTTTGCTGTATTAATACATATGTACCACATCTTCTTCACCCATTCATCTGTTGATGGGTACTTAGGTTGCCTTCATGTCTTGGCTGTATGAACACTGGGGTGTGTGTATGTTTTTGTATTATTGTTTTCTCCAGATATATGCCCAGGAATGGGATTGCTGGGTCACACGAGAGCTCTATTTTTAGTTTCTTAAGGAATTTCCCTACTCTTCTCCATAGTGACTGCATCAATTTTCCTTCCCACCAACAGTGTAGGAGAGTTTCTTTTTCTCCACACCTTCTCCAGCATTCATTATTTGTATACTTTGATAGATCTCTATAGATTATTTGAATGAAGAAATGTCCTCTAGTTCCCTAAGCTTCCCCTGGATCTAAGCTAATGGAGCTGGCTCTGGGGGTTGGGATGGTGTCATGGGCCCCTATGGTAAGAGGTCGCCAGCGTCCTCTCTGCCCAGCATCTCCCACTCAGACTTTCTGGCTCTCTCTGCTGATTATGAAGGTAAGCTGAATGACGGCTGGGAGGCTGGCTCCGTTCTATGGGAGGCCTGGCAACTGTACTGAAACTGCTTTTTGGCATCACTTGGGTTGGGGGGGTGGGGGTGGGGTGGGCATGGTCCATGAATATAAGCAGCTCTGATGCTGAAACATAATTTTCAAAAGTTCCCAGTTCATACATCTTTTGAATTTCCCTCTCACCTTCCCTAAGCTGCACAAACAACAGAAAAGGGTGTGTCTCCATGAGCAAAGGCACCACTTTCCACAGATGAGAGCCTAGCCAGAAGTAGAGAAGTTCAGGAGACCTGGAAATGTGACTTGTCTGGCTGCTCCCTGCCTCCTCTCTCTGGATTAGGACTGCTGTTATTTTGTGTGAGTGTAGGGGCAGATGAAGCAGCAGGAAGGCAGCCCTCTCTCTGGCTGCCCCCCGCCCTCCCTGCCGGAAGTCTGAGACCAGGGTGGTACCTCCCTTCCCAGAAATGAGGCAGCCTTCCAGGCCACACCGAGACCTGGGCGTGCGCAGCGTCAGGGATTCGGCACAGAGGGGCTGACCACTTAGCCCAGGGCAATGAGCAGATGCCAGCTTTGTTCAAAACAGCTTTGTTAAGCCAGGTGGCACTGTACTAAATGGAAAAAGCTTTCTTTAGCAGCTGCCATTTTCACTCCCCATAGGCTCTGTAGAATAGGCAAAACCAGAGTGATTGAACAGATGCGTGGCTCCACTCTATAGGCTGTGAAAAACCCCCCAAAGCCATGACCATACTGTCTTCAGTCCTTTTGCCAGCTTCTCAGTCCTCCAGGCAAAGAAACAACACCCGAGACTTCCGTGGTGGTCCAATGGTTAAGACTCCAAGCTTCTAATGCAGGGGGCCTGGGTTCGATCCCTGGTTGGGTAACTAAGATCCCACATGCTACGTGGCACAGCCCCCATTTTTTTTTTTTTTTAAAGCAGCTTGCATGATCAAAGGATTTCACTGTCAAGGAAAAAGAAAAGAGAGATTTGAAGTTAACATGTAAAAATGGCCCAGAGAAAGGGGAAGGAGATAGGATCCAGGTGCTTGGCTGGATTCTGGATGCCAGAACCCAGAAATGTTTCTTAGAGGGACAGAAGCTACGTCAACTCTAGTATCAAGCCGCCAAGGCCTTAGGCTGCGGCAGAGCTGCTCTGCCCTGGTATAATCTGCATGCGCTTGTGCTCAGCTGTGTCCGACTCTTGGCAACCCCGCGCACTGTAGCCCCCCAGGCTCCTCTGTCCATGGGATTTCCCAGGCAAGAGTACTGGGGTGGGGTGCCATTTCCTACTCCAGGGGGTCTTCCCGACCCAGGGATCAAACCCATGTCTCTGGAATTGGCAGGCAGCTTCTTCACTACTGGGCCACCT